GTATTTGTACATGATGAGCCAGACTTAAGCTGGTTTTATAGTGCTAGCCAACTGCTAGTGAAGCATGACCCCACTCACACAGCACTCATATGATCAGTTATTGCCTGGTTGTATTCTGATACAACATGATGCCAAGCGCCAGACAGGGACCAACAAGTACCATACTTAAACGTCTTTTTTATGACGCTGTCGGGATTGAACCCTCGACCTCTCTGTTCAGGCGGATTCTAACCACTACACCACGTGAGGAGGTGAGAGAGCTGCTAGGACCATACACAGCACTCATATGATCAGTTATTGCTGTAGTTGTATTCTGATACAACATGATGAGCCCGACATATGGTGAGAGGTGAGAGAGCTGCTAGGACCATACACAGCACTCATATGATCAGTTATTGCTGTAGTTGTATTCTGATACAACATGATGAGCCCGACATATGGTTAGAGGTGAGAGAGCTGCTAGGACCATACACAGCACTCATATGATCAGTTATTGCTATAGTTGTATTCTGATACAACATGATGAGCCCGACATATGGTTAGAGGTGAGAGAGCTGCTAGGACCATACACAGCACCCATATGATCAGTTATTGCTATAGTTGTATTCTGATACAACATGATGAGCCCGACATATGGTTAGAGGTGAGAGAGCTGCTAGGACCATACACAGCACCCATATGATCAGTTATTGCTATAGTTGTATTCTGATACAACATGATGAGCCCGACATATGGTGAGAGGTGAGAGAGCTGCTAGGACCATACACAGCACTCATATGATCAGTTATTGGTGTAGTTGTATTCTGATACAACATGATGAGCCCGACATATGGTGAGAGGTGAGAGAGCTGCTAGGACTATACACAGCACTCATATGATCAGTTATTGCTATAGTTGTATTCTGATACAACATGATGAGCCCGACATATGGTGAGAGGTGAGAGAGCTGCTAGGACCATACACAGCACTCATATGATCAGTTATTGGTGTAGTTGTATTCTGATACAACATGATGAGCCCAGCATATGGTGAGAGGTGAGAGAGCTGTAGGTGAGGTGGGGTGAGGTGAAATTGGGTTTAACGACGTGCTTGAGAATATTTCGCTCATATGACGACGTGCATGCGTGTGTATGTGTATGTGCGGCTGCTTGTACTAGCCCAGACTTAAGCTGGTTTTATAGTGCTAGCCAACTGAGATACCATGCCGCAGTGAAGCATGAATACCCCACTCAGACACATTATACTGACTCCGAGCCGACCCGTCCCTGGTTGTACCCATTAATGCCAAGAGCCAGACAGGGACCAACAAGTACCATACTTTAACGTCTTTTGGTATGACGCGGTCGGGGATTGAACCCTCGACCTTCTGCTCCGTGCGGACGCTCTAACCACTACACCACGTAGGCGGTTAGAGAGCTGCTAGAACTATACACAGCACTCATATGATCAGTTATTGCTGTAGTTGTATTCTGATACAACATGATGAGCCCGACATATGGTGAGAGGTGAGAGAGCTGCTAGGACTATACACAGCACTCATATGATCAGTTTTTGCTGTAGTTGTATTCTGATACAACATGATGAGCCCGACATATGGTGAGAGGTGAGAGAGCTGCTAGGACCATACACAGCACTCATATGATCAGGTATTGGTGTAGTTGTATTCTGATACAACATGATGAGCCCGACATATGGTGAGAGGTGAGAGAGCTGCTAGGACCATACACAGCACTCATATGATCAGTTATTGCTGTAGTTGTATTCTGATACAACATGATGAGCCCGACATATGGTGAGAGGTGAGAGAGCTGCTAGGACCATACACAGCACTCATATGATCAGTTATTATACCCCCGCTACGAAGTAACGGGGGTATATAGCGTTCATTCTGTCCGTCCGTCTGTCTGTCCGTCCTGAAACTTTGTCCGGATGTTTACATGCTAGGTTCACCAAACTTCACACACATGTTAATCATTACCCATTGATGTGCCTTTTGCTGTTTTATAATATTTTAAGATTTTTTTTTTGTTGCTGTTTCCATGGAAACACGACTTAGTGCCAAATGTGTTTGGTGGTTTTTGTCCGGAGCATATCTCTTAAAGTTTACATGCTAGGTTCACCAATCTTCACACACATGTTAATCATTACCCATTGATGTGCCTTTTGCTATTTTAAAGTTTTTTCAGAATTTCGTTTTTTTGCTGTTTCCATGAAAACATGACTTAGTGCCAAATGGGTTTGGTGGTTTTTGTCCAGAGCATATCTCTTAAAGCTTACATGCTAGGTTCACCAAACTTCACACACATGTTAATCATTACCCATTGATGTGCCTTTTCTATTTTAAAGTTTTTCAGAATTTTTTTTTTTTTCTGTTTCCATGGAAACACGACTTAGTGCCAAATGTGTTTGGCGGTTTTTGTCCGGAGCATATCTCTTAAAGTTTACATGCTAGGTTCACCAATCTTCACACACATGTTAATCATTACCCATTGATGTACCTTTTGCTATTTTAAAGTTTTTTCAGAATTTCGTTTTTTTTGCTGTTTCCATGGAAACATGACTTAGTGCCAAATGTGTTTGATGGTTTTTGTCCGGAGCATATCTCTTAAAGTTTACATGCTAGGTTCACCAAACTTCACACACATGTTAATCTGTAACCATTGATGTGCCTTTCGTTATTTTAAAGTTTTTCAGAATTTATTTTGTTGTTGTTTCCATGGAAACATGACTTAGTGCAAAATGTGTTTGATGGTTACCTGGCCACAGCATATCATCGAAACTATACATGCTAGGTTCACCAAACTTAATACACAAGTTAATCATGACCCACAGATATGCCATGTGCTAAAAAATAACAATCTTCATCTACGTCCACTTCATTGTGTGCAACAAGTTCAATTGTATGTCAGGTTTCCACGGAAAACACAAAAAAGTAATGTTTCCATAAATTATTACTGTAATCAGTACATGGCAAAACAATTACCTAACATGTATATAAAGTTTAGTAGAGTCAAGGAGAAAGTCTTGTGAGCTGCTGATCCTTGTCACATTATGTATATCAATATCAGTCATTTCCATGTCCCAAAGTGGGAAGCGGGGGTATGTGAGCTGTGCTCACTTCTACACTTGTTGCTGTAGTTGTATTCTGATACAACATGATGAGCCCGACATATGGTGAGAGGTGAAAGAGCTGCTAGGACCATACACAGCACCCATATGATCAGTTATTGCTGTAGTTGTATTCTGATACAACATGATGAGCCCGACATATGGTGAGAGGTGAGAGAGCTGCTAGGACCATACACAGCACTCATATGATCAGTTATTGCTGTAGTTGTATTCTGATACAACATGATGAGCCCGACATATGGTGAGAGGTGAGAGAGCTGCTAGGACCATACACAGCACTCATATGATCAGTTATTGGTGTAGTTGTATTCTGATACAACATGATGAGCCCGACATATGGTGAGAGGTGAGAGAGCTGCTAGGACCATACACAGCACTCATATGATCAGTTATTGGTGTAGTTGTATTCTGATACAACATGATGAGCCCAGCATATGGTGAGAGGTGAGAGAGCTGCTAGGACCATACACAGCACTCATATGATCAGTTATTGGTGTAGTTGTATTCTGATACAACATGATGAGCCCAGCATATGGTGAGAGGTGAGAGAGCTGCTAGGACCATACACAGCACTCATATGATCAGTTATTGGTGTAGTTGTATTCTGATACTACATGATGAGCCCGACATATGGTGAGACAAAGCAAAATGCCTTCAACTCTGACTCAATCATTGTTTTCTGCAGTAAATTCCAAGCTACAGTTCCCGTGAAGCTCCGGGTTAGAATATTGGCCTTCAGTAACCCATGCTTGCTGTAAGAGGCGACTATCGAGATCGGGTGGTCAGGCTCGCAGACTTGGTTGAGACATGTCATCGGTTCCCAATTGCCCAGATCGATGCTCATGCTGTTGATCACTGGATTGTCTGGTCCAGACTCGATTATTTACAGACTGCCACCATATAGCTGGAATATTGCTGAGTGTGGCGTAAAACTAAACTCACTCACTCACTCCAAGGTACAGATACATCTAAACTGATTCTAACTTGTAGAGTGAGTAACTGCTAGGTGCTAATCATTCCAAAATATATAGATGACAAAATTAACTTACTAAATGATTGTGCTCTGAATGTTATTGGTACATTGTAATTTTTGCATTTCTTAACTTGTACATTTGAGATTTGAAAAAGGAAAACAATGCAGAGCTTGTAATTGTGTGTTCTTTCTGAAATGTTAATTCATAGCAGTTACAATATGGAGATATCTGTTGGCTCTCCACTGCTCTAGTAGGGGCAGTGGGGTAGCCTAGTGGTCAAAGTGTTGGCTCATCATGATGAAGTCCTGGGTTTGATTCCCCTCATGTGTACAATGTGTGAAGCCCATTTCTGGTGTCCCCCAGCTGTGATATTGCTAAAATATTGCTAAAAGTGGTGTAAAACTCAACTCACTCACTCACTCTAGTATCTGTAAGGATGTGTTTACAACAAAAAGACTCATTGATTTCTTGGATGCTCTATACTCTTAACCTGCCATGAAGACTCATATTAGTTGGTAGGGCTGCATCGATTCACCCAGACCTCGATTCGATTTTCGATTTTGGACCCTCGATTTGATCATTTTCGATTTGATTCTTCATACAAGTACAAACATCAGATTTTATTGAACCCTCAGAGTCGGCTTAGCATGAAATCCATCGTCAACCTGGGCATATGTACTAACAACAATTCTCATTGTTTCGCCTTATTTCAGCGCTCAAAACTGCTCGAGTTGGAGTCAAATGTGTGGAAATATTTAAATGGGTATTCAAATATCGAATCGAAATAGTGATAATGGTTATCGAAACTAAGGTGTCAGATTCGATTTTCGATGAATCGAACTGAATCGTTGCAGCCCTGTTAGTTAACAATATTGACACAGTGTTTTATTCTTTCAGTGTTTGTGTCTGGCACCGACATACGAACTGGCTCTGCAGATTGGGGAGGTCACAGAGCAGATGGCCAAACACATGACAGACTGTAAAATAGGTTATGCCGTCAGGGGACAAAGAGGTTGGTGTCTTGCATTTTGATCTCTTTCTTCTGACTTCATGTAGTGTTAAAAAAATATGGAGTAGATCTTCAGATCAACTGGTCATGGTCAAAATGAAGGTCATTCGTAAATTTTTGTCTTGACAGTTTTACAGCAGATATGTTTTAAGTCTTATGAAAAGTGCTGTTCCCAGTGTCCCAGATAAATATAACTTGAAGTAGAACTGAAACTGAGGATTGTGATTTTCAGATATATATGGGGGCGGTGGGGTAGCCTAGCGAGTAAAGTGTTCGCTCATCACGCCGAAGACCTGGGTTCGATTCCCCGACATGGGTACAATGTGTGAAGGCAATTTCTGGTGTCTCCCGCCGTGGAATATTGCTAAAAGCGGCATAAAACCCAACTCACTCAGATATATATGTGTGTTGTATAAGACATGTATTTTCCAAATCTAAGGATCAAGTAATTAAACTAAGAGTGTATGGGTCCCTCTTATCAGTGTGGGGCAGTGTGGTAACCCATTGGTTAAAATGTTTGCTCGTCACACCGAAGACCTGGGCTGTGAAGCTGTGATATTGACAGAATATTGCTTATCCGGGGTTGTACTCTTCCAAGGGAACTGAGGCCAGCTTTTTTTTGAATGGAGTTCCCTATTTCTCAGTGTTGACAATTTTCTCAAAAACTATTTAGGTAGGAGAGCAAAACTTATTCAGATTGACGCAATTGGCCACAATCTGATTTGGCTGCAAAAATTAAATAAAGTTTTTACCATAACTGCATGCTTTTATTCCCACAATTTACTTCTTGAAATGTGGACAGATTTTCTCAGAAACTGGAAGTTACATGTCTAAAATTTGTCATGCGTGTCAAAGATAATATTTTTCCTTATCCTGACTCATGCTCTTTTGCTTGTCTTCTTCTTGCGAACACAGTGGAACACTTGTATCTCCCAATTGAAGCTCCCTTCAATGTAAAATCACTAATTAGTACTCACCAAGAGTTGTCTCCCTCCCAGCCATTTGCGCGTGAACGAGGGCGCCACCTCTTGCCACATGCCTCACTCTCTCCTTCTTCGACCAGTGAGCAGGATGTGAGAGCGCCTGTGTCTCCCTACACATTATATCCTTTGTTTATTCTTAGTTATTTACCTCTCATAGGCTTCTATAGAGGTGTAGCTAGTATCCTTCAACATAATGCATTGATATTTATTCGTGTTTCTACTGTTTTATTCACGGGACTCCGTGTTTGTTCAGTAGATTGCTTTGATGAAAATCTGCACTATTTGTAAATTACGTTTTTCTGCTGCTGACCCGCATTTAATATTCCCTAGTTGTACTACGCCATGCTCTACTGTTTTACGTTGCAATTATTGTGCTAATTTATCCAATTCTGCCTTTGATAAATATTTATTTTGCGTCTTGAGACGCGCAACAGATAGGTCACGTAAACAGATTTTAGCCATGGCTAATACACCGGAGCCCTCACCCTGTCAACTGCTGTCGGATGACCCCCTGCGTCTGGTGTTCCGCTAGAGTTACCCTCGGAGGAGAGGCATGGGACGCAGTCCGGTATCTCCAAGAAGCGACCTGCATCCCCGGACACCCCGTCGTCGCATCCAAAGACTAGGAGGGCTTCCACGTGGTCATAACGCAGACTCCGCACCCCCAGGGCTACATCCACATCAAAAGGGAAATCAACGAAGCCCAGCAGTACTTTCTCAGCCGAGATTGTTCTCGTTGCAGAGTTGGGCCTGAATGATGACGATCAACCTATCATCATACCAGATTTACGGTGGAAGAAGCAGCCAGTGTCGCAACTATAACATCAGCGCAGATCAGCACGCAGTCTGAGGCACCTACACTGATGTCAGAGAATCTTCCTGAGGGTCCCATCGCTACCATCGTAGAAAAGGCAGCAACTACTTCAGCGCAGACCGTCCCAGCGACCTGATGAACCACATAATGAAGTTGATGGAAGATCGCTACGGTCTACAGAGGCCTCTAGAGCCACCTTCACGAAGGGCGACCCAGCCCGCCTCCACACCTCCGCGTAGGGCGACCCAGCCCGCTTACACGCCTCCGCGTAGGGCGACCCAGCCCGCTTACACACCTCCGGATAGGGCGACCCAGCCCGCTGACAAGCCTCCGCGAAGGGCGACCCAGCCCGCCTCCACGAAGGACTCTGATCCTCAGCATTCACGGAAGGCTTCACGAAGGACGACTACTTCACCTACCTCTGACCTTGATGACCAGAGAGGACGTTCGCGAAGCAAGATCCTCTCATCCCATGACTCAGACTCAGACTCTCAACCTTCACGAAGGTTAAGTGGCTCCAAGTTATCCTCATCTAGAAGATCATCAAGGGATTCACCGAGAGCTTCGCGAAGCTACCAGCGGTCGCCAAGGAAGTCTCCGCGAAGGTCACCTTATAGACGCCACTCGTCAGTCCATTCACCAAGATCACCCCGTCGATCCACGTACAGATCATCAAGGACTCCACCTCAGTCACTATCGGAGGAGCATCAACACATTATCTGTGACCCGATGTCAGAAGATGAAGATGGTATCGTATTTTCCGACGCAGAAATAAGATACTGGATGGTGAATAGTCTGGAACTATCCTCCCCGTCTAAGAACGAGAACTCAGCCCACACATATCTTATGAAGGAAGATGATGCTGACACAATCACCTTACCTCCGATTGACCCGATAGCAGCGGTGCCAGCTAATCTGGATACAGCCTGTAGTAAAGCCACGAAATCACAGACACCACATGTGCCGCATTTCAACGCTAAGAAGTTTGCAGGTCACAACATGGACTCTTTTTACAAGGCACAAGATATCGATGATAACTATAAGATGATCAGTGATGCCAAGTCCAAAACTTACAGAATAGATGACCGCGAGCTAGTCCAGATGGAAACCATGTCAAGGAGGATGTTCTTTGGTCTAAACAGATCAAGAACAGTCAACGAAACTCTCCTCACGAAGTTCAGAGACTCTACATCTGAGGACGACAGGATGATTTACTCGGCCTTCCTCATGCAGAAGAAGGACCAGCAGTTCCTAACGGATCACTTGACAGTACTATCCGCAGCTATAACTACGGCTCGTCGTCAAGGTCTCCTCGCCTCCTGTAATTGGGGTGATAACTTCACCGCATCACTCCACACAGCCCCGTGGTCATCACCGTCAATCTTCGATGGAAACATAGACAAAGTCTCTAAAGAAGTCTCTAAAGACTCAACAGAGGTACTCATGATAAAGTCTATGGATACGCTAGCAAGGGTCATCAGACAAACTTCGCAGAGGTACTCAGGCAAATCGAAGTTCTCCGGTCTACAGAAAGCACCAGACAGGAAGATGGCAAGTGTAAGAGGAGCTAAAGAGTCTTTTCACCATACACGGCAATTACAGGGGAGGATCTGGAAGAGGCAGGTCATCCAGAGGCTCCCGCAACTATAAACGATGAAGGACAGGTTCGGAACGACTGGAGTCTTCCACCCCCAGCCGTTCCAGTACAACCATCACAAGTGGGTGGACGCCTTCAACTGCACTGGGAAAACTGGGGATTCCTAGAGGATCCATATGTCTCCAACATCCTACAGCACGGATATCGAATACAACTACAGGCCACGCCCGCTGACAGTCATCCTCCGAGGTTCGACTTCCAGGCTCTACAACTACCAAAGTTAAGAAGCGGTATCAACGCTCCTAACCAAGCAGGCCATAGAAGCACTGGACCAAGTAAACATCGAACCAGGCTTCTACTCCCCAGTTTTCCTAGTGCCCAAGAAAAATTCCAAGGGAAAAGTTTCGTGTCATCTACAATATGAGCACGCTCAACAGAGACTATCTACGCAAAACCGCCAGCGTTGCGCGATGATACACCTACCACAACTACGGCACTTAATTCGTCCCAGAGACTACATGGCCAGCATAGATCTGCAAGACACATATCTACACATCCCAATACATCCCGACTCCAGGAAATACCTTCGGGTTTACACTAGACGGGCTGCATTACCAATGGAAAGTACTACCTTCGAATCTCATCGGCCCCTGGTTATTCACAAGAGTGACGAAACCTATCGCCTCTTACCTACATCGTCAAGGACTACGCACGCGCTCTCTACCGCGAACGGGATACAAGTGGATCCAGATCCACAGCCGCCTCAGACTACAGTTAAACTTCATCATCAAGCTACTAACACAGCTAGGATGGTTAGTAAATCTACTCAAGTCGGACCTAGAACCTACTTTAAGATCTGCAATTTCTAGGCATTCGATTTCTCATGGCGCAGAATCGTGATCGTCGTACGCATCGAGGACCGATGGATCAAGATCCAACAGACAATCCCTCAAGCCTTACTCTCTCCGCTACCACTACGACAATGGCAGAGCCTGTTGGGTCTACTCACGTCAGCTCAAGACATGACAGTCAGAGGCAGACTACAGCTACGTCCATTACAGGTCCTCATCAACTCTCATCTCGACGACCTACAACCATTCAGTCTACCGAATCACGTCAAACCTCACCTACTATGGTGGACAAAGAGATCGAATGTTTGCGATGGAATCTTTTTAATAGAGCCGGAATTGAAAACAAATCTCTATGTAGAAGCATCGCTCCAAGGTTGGGGAGCACACCTCGGCAACAGGACGGCATCAGGGTTATGGAGCCAACAAGAGAGCAAACTACACATAAACTTGCTAGAAATGCAAGCAGTAGTAAACGCCATACATCATTGGAGCAACTTACTAAAGAACGCCCAATTGATGATTCACACAGACAATTCAACAGTGGCGTTTTATGTGAACAAACAAGGCTCAACCAGGTCCCCGAATCTATTGACTCTATGTTTTCAATTGTTCGATCTAATCGACAATCTCAACATACATGTCAGAGCATGTCACATTCCAGGAGCAAAGAATGTAATAGCAGACTCTCTCTCTCGGCCACACCTACCATCGCCAACAGAATGGATGCTCCATACAGAGATATTCGCACAAATTATCAAGAAAATAGGAGCTCCACTAATGGACCTATTTGCCACTCGCTTCAACAATCAGCTGACAACATTCGTATCACCAGTCCCAGACCCACTAGCATGGGCAACGGACGCACTAAGCATATCGTGGGAAGGACTCAACGCAGACGTTGCTCCTCGCCACCAGTGTTAATCCCACAGGTGTTACAGAAAATCAAGCAAACTCGGAGCCTCCAAATGATTTTGGTCGCCCCCTACTGGCCAGCGAGAACGTGGTTTCCAACTCTTATTCAAGAAATCGGACAACCAATACTACAACTTCCAAAGCGCTCGAATGTACTAATACATCCTCACACCAAACAAGCGCACGGAAAGCCAGAAGCATTTCAACTTCACGTATGGACTGTATTAAGGCGTGTCTAAACAAGAGAGGTTATTCAGCCAGAGCGGCGAAAGCAGTCATGCTTGCCTTACGCAACTCCACTCGCAACTTGTACGATGACAAGTGGCACAGTTTTGAAAATTATGCTGCAAAGAAAGGATTTACAGCTAGATATGCTGACTACTTATGTTACCTACGACAGACTAAACGTCTAAAAGACTCAACATTATCAACATATCTCGCAGCTTTAAGCTCCGTCATAACTGTGAGAACGGGTGTCAAGTTGACGAAGACCCCAGAGTTACTGGCCTTACTACGTGCATTCCCATTGGAAGATCAGAAACAGAGATTTCGCGCTCCAGCATGGGATCTAAATATAGTGCTCCAACACCTCACAAGTGAGGTCGCGCTCCAGCATGGGATCTAAATATAGTGCTCCAACACCTCACAAGTGAGGCATATGAACCACTGGAATCAACATCATTCGAATTTCTGACACAGAAAACTTTGTTCCTGTTATCCCTAGCAACAGCAGCCAGGATGTCAGAGATTCACGCACTAGATTACGAGAGAACACGCTTTGATGACAATCATAACATCGTGCATATGGGACTACGCTGGGATTTCATCGCCAAGAACCAGTTGCCAGGTCAGCCAGACAGATTATTCCACGTCCCAGCTCTCTCATCAATTCTCGGACCTCATGATACACTGGATCTATCATTATGCCCAGTCAGAGCACTGAAAATATATCTACGGCGATCCAAACCGAGGCGACAAAAACTCAAACGATTATTCATCCCTCTATCGACAGCTACACAGACTGAAGTCTCACTTACACGTATCTCGATATGGATCAGAACTGTCATACTACGTGCCTACAAGGCTGCAGGACCCTCCAAGAGCATCTAATCCACATGAAATTAGAGCGTTAGCTTCAACACTTGCTCTACACGGCAATTGCTCTTTGAATACCATCATGGAGGGCTGTTTCTGGAGATCCGATATGGTGTTTGCCAACCACTGTCTGAGAGATATCACCACTGAGGACGTCTCAGGTATTCACCATTTCGGTCCCATGGTCCTCGCACAGCAGTTGACAGTCCCTCGGAGAAGATAAGTCAATCTTACGAGATTTTTACTGCTTATTTCACAACAGTACTATATAGCTAATAACTCCACGAAGTTTATGCTATTATATATTTTAGCTTAAGTCCAATCATAATCTTAAGCTCAGTACTATGTTTGTTATATCATAACAGTATCATTAGCTAACAACTCTATTAAGTTTATGCTATTATATTATCAAGCTTAAGTCTATCTTAGTCTTAAGCCTAGTATTCATGTTGTAAATACTTTAGTTAACTTCTCCATGAGGAGTAGTTTATTTATGTTTATCATAATATCTATATATTGTAGTAACCCATATATGGCAGCTGATAAGCTTAACAGCAGGAATTATCAATTCTGTGCCTTTATGAAGTTCCCATAGGGGTTATAACAGTTATTACAGTTATCAAATCACTAATTATCTAAATCCAAAGTATTCTGTATTCCCTGTGACCTCCGTATCCATAGGATTCTATAAGCAAAAGAGCATGAGTCAGGATAAGGAAAAATATGTAATTTTCTGAATATAATTGATATTTTATACTTATCCTGACTCATGAGGTAAGCCCTCCCATCCTCCCCACATAACACTTTGGATTTCCCTGAAAATTCAAGTGTTGGGCTCACTATATAAGGAGAGAGTGAGGCATATGGCAAGAGGTGGCGCCCTCGTTCCCGCGCAAATGGCTGGGAGGGAGACAACTCTTGGTGAGTACTAATTAGTGATTTTACATTGAAGGGAGCTTCAATTGGGAGATACAAGTGTTCCACTGTGTTCGCAAGAAGAAGAAGACAAGCAAAAGAGCATGAGTCAGGATAAGTATAAAATATCGATTTTATTCAGAAAATTGCATTATAGTACATGAAGTTACTCCAGACAATGTTTGAAGATTTTTGCAATAATACTTGTTTTTCCAAAGATGGGCCCTTTGACTTTTCATATTTGAGACGCTTGTCTCATCTTAACATGGGACTGGGGTAGCCTTTAGGTAAAAGTGTTCGCTCTGGTGTTTTAGACAGTGATTAAATACAAAGTATTTTTAAAACAATGAAATAATTTTGCTTTGGTTTGTTTTTTTGAATTTATCAAATAGTACTTATGATTTTTATGCAGAAAGAGTTGTTATCAGTGACTGCCTTTGTTGGAATGTTTGTGTTGGGTGTTGATTCTGTATCCATGTGAGTTACAGTGCAGTGAACCTGTGAAGATCTGGGTTAGAATTGATCTTCAGTAAACCATGCTTGTCTTAAGAGGCGACTAACGGGATCGGTTGATCAGGCTCGCTGACTTGATTGACACAGGTCATCGTATCCCAACTGCGTAGATTGATGCCCATGCTGTTGATCACTGGATTTTCTGGTCCAGACTCGATTATTTACAGACCACCGCCTTATAGCTGGAATATTGGTATGTGAGGCGTAAAACTAAACTCACTCGCTCACTTACAGTGTAGTGGCTGTATTTTTTTTATGTCATGAGCACCAACTGTCCATTGTTGTAGTACCAAGGGGGCAGAAGGTTCAGTACCACATCCTGATTGGCACACCTGGCACTGTGATGGACTGGTCAATCAAGCTAAAGGTGTTGGATCTGAGGAAGATCCAGGTGTTTGTGTTGGACGAGGCTGACGTGATGATAGCAACACAGGGTCACCAGGACCAGTCTCTCAGAATACAGAGGTGTGGAGCACATAGCCTTTCTATAGTCTCAAGTTAGAACAGATGCATCTTACATTCAGTTTAACTGGTAATGGAAATAAAAAAAATACAAGTGATTTAATTTATGCACAGTGTTTTGTCATTGTGGTCAGACAAGGGGCAGCTTCAAGAACTCACATTTGTCTTATTCATAGAAGATGGAGATGTAGTAGCTTGATCCAGGACTCACATTTGTCTCATCTGTAGAAGATGGAGATGTAGTATCTTGATCCAGGACTCTCATTTGTCTCATCTGTAGAAGATGGAGATGTAGTATCTTGATCCAGGACTCACATTTGTCTCATCTGTAGAAGATGGAGATGTAGTATCTTGATCCAGGACTCACATTTGTCTCATCTGTAGAAGATGGAGATGTAGTATCTTGATCCAGGACTCTCATTTGTCTCATCTGTAGAAGATGGAGATGTAGTATCTTGATCCAGGACTCACATTTGTGTCAGTGGGATTAGTGGTATCAGAAAATCTCAACTGGTCACAGAAATATAAAATAGAGTAATATAGTTTATGGACACAATTTTGTCTTTGGTTGTCGTTTGAGAAGTGGTAACTTGATCCTAGAACTGACCATGTGGCCAACAAGCATTATGATGCCATGTGACTCTAACATGCAACTTCTCTTCTTCACCAGGAACCTTGGTGTGCAGTGTCAGATGTTGCTATTTTCGGCAACATATGATGCAGATGTTATGAAATTTGCACAAGCTGTCATACCCAATGATCCTGTTGTGATTCGCCTGCGTCGAGAGGAGGAGAGTTTAGACAACATCAAACAATATTACATTGAGTGCCAAGATGAAGCAGATAAGTTCCAGGCATTGTCCAACATCTACGGTACAATATCCATTGGACAGTCCATGATCTTCTGTCAGGTAATTCAGACAAGCTGTTTGTAGTGTGATGTTGGTGCCTGTTGATAATACTCAAACTTTGAGGTGACAATTGATAATTACTTCACCAGGGTGTAATTGTAGAAAGCAAAAACTCAGCGCAAAGATGATAGTAGCTCCCATACCTTAACATAGTCTTGTGAGTCGTAGCACTAAAGTTGTTTTGTACAACAGTATGTAGGGCAGCTGTTAGAAGGGATATGTTAATAGTAAACTAACCACCTCTAAGCTCAGCAACAGCTTTACTTTTGATAATATGAACTAAAGGTGAAGTAAGGAAACTCCACTGCCAGTGTTGACATTGTTGCCTGAACTCTCCCCATAGTTACGGAGATCTGTATCAGGTCATCTGGTTAGTCGTCATAATAAATATGCTGAAAGTGATCATTCAGTTGTGATTTATCCTGAAAAAAAACAGCCTTGAATGTCAGTCTTTCGTCTTTATCTGTTGCACCCGTGAAGGTCTGGTTAGAATGTGCCTTCAGTAACCCATGCTTGTCGTAAAAGGTGACTAACGGGATCGGGTGGTCAGGCTCGCTGACTTGGTTGACATATATCATTGGTTCCTAATTGCGCAGATCGATGCTCATGCTGTTAATCACTGGATTTTCTGGTCAAGACTCAATTATTTACAGACCGCCGCCATATAGCTGAAATATTGCTGAGTGCGGCGTAAAACTAAACTCACTCACTCACTCGTTATCTGTTACACAGAATGAAACTCAGATTATTCACATTTCATGTACATATGTCAGACACATCTTTGCTTTCTGATTAGACAAGAAGAACAGCATCATGGCTAGCAGAAAAGATGACCAAGGAAGGGCACGCAGTGGGATTGTTGTCAGGGGAACTGGCCATTGAACAAAGAGCGGCCATTATACACAGATTTAGAAATGGCAAAGAAAAGGTGCTGATAACTACAAATGTATCAGCCAGAGGTAAGCATGAAAACTTGTAGGTATTTGGCAACCATCCAGTTGAATTAGCAGTTTTGAGTTGATTGAGATGACACCACTTGGCAAGTCTTGGATAGAAAATAGCAAGTTTTGGTGGTGTCATGGTTAGGGTACACACAGACAGATATAGCAAGCTGTTTGGGTGATATGGAACATACCATTTGCAATTCCAGCCCTTTATGATTTCCTTTAAGGTCTTGACAGCACTGCATTTACACTATAGGTTGTTTATGTTTGACATACCAGTTGTCTGTGTCTCCTCTATAGCCCTGAGAATGAACGTTTGTACAATGAACGTTTGTACACTGGCCATTCATGTCAAAAGCTCAAGGTGATTCTTGAGTCTTATGCCAGTTGTGGCTAATTATTTTTTGTGTACTTTAGCGTGACAGGTTAGGGAAATCTTTTGATTTGCATTAGCAGGATATACAGTATCGCTTTGGAAACCACTTGGTGCTTGGGTATCTCAGAGATCTTCTTTCATGTGTGTTTCCTTTATAACCTAGGCAATTCATTTTGGTACACTGACATGTTAAGGGTCAGGGTCATTCTATAGATCCTAACCTGAAAACCAGTTTGTATAACATCTCAAGAAGGATTCACTGTAGCTTAAATTTAGTACTTATCTTCCTTAAGGTTGGTCACAGATCTGATAAGATTGAGGTCATTCCTTAGTCTTTCCAACATTTTATCCTGATTAAGAACCAAAGGATATTTTTGTGACATCTATTTTTAGTTTGTAAAGCATGTTGTGGCCATATCTTTACTTGTGTATGACCAGAGATGACAGAAAATCTCGATTCCCCACATGGGTACAACGTGTAAGCCCTTTTCTGGTGTCACCCGCCGTGGTATTGCTGGAATATTGCTAAACGTAGCGTAAAACTAAACTCTCTCATTCACTCTCATCAGTGGTATGTCACAGTGACCTACAGTGTGTTCTATTTCTACACAGTTAACTTTAATTCAACCAAGTCATATTATGTTAGATTCATGAGCTTAGGAAGTTGAAGCACAAAGCTTTCTGTTTCAAACATTTCACTACATTGGCCATATTTTTACCCCAAGACTGAAGTGTTGAAGTGGGAGTGTTAATGACTGTGGTTAAGTAAGCTTGAGGCAAATAAAGTTTCTGATAGGTTCATCACTTTACTGTTTGAGAAATATTGGCTTGAAAGACACCAGGCCAATCTTGTAACAAATAAAGACTTTTCTGTTTCATTCTACTTAACATCATGGATGATGCTTCATAGCCTGATGTGTGTAATAGTTTTATTATTGTCATTTATTTATTATGTATTCAGCGGCGTCCTTACGTCCCGATTCTTGTTAGCGCGATATCTCATGAACTGTTGTACCCAATGTCTTCATATTTGGTGACAGCCTACATTGGGGGATTACCCAGACACCAGTCGATTTGGGTGACCTTGACCTTATTTTCAAGGGCACAACGACACTTTGACCTCTTTTCAAACTTATTTAAACCCGATATCTCATAAAACATTGCACCCAATGTTTTCAAGTATGTCGACAGCCTGCATTGGGTGATTATGCAGACACCAGTCATTTCAGGCATCTTGTATATGACCCCAAAATAAAAAGTAGTCAATATAGGTATTCCCTTCTTTTGCGGGACATTGCCATATCAGTGGCAAACACTAGTTAGAATTAATTCAAGTATTTGATTGTTATCAGTTGTGTTGTGTTGTGTTGTAGGTATTGATGTGGAACAGGTGACAGTCGTGGTCAACTTTGACCTGCCTACACTAGACAGGAAACCTGACAATGAGACATACCTACACAGGATAGGACGGACAGGCAGATTCGGCAAGAATGGCATTGCAATAAACATGGTGGACAGTAAACGCTCTATGGATATTATGAGATCCATAGAAAACCACTTTGGTAAGTAGACAATTCAAAACCTTTCATCACCAATTTCACTGTCCTTTCATTGCAAGCAAATGACAGAATTTAAGGATAGTGTTAGGGGTGTTGAAAATACAGTGCGGTGCATCAGTGACCTCTTGCAGCTTGGATGTTATGTCTGCATGTGTAAGGTGCTGGTACCTGCTACTGGTGTGGATGTAAAGCCTGCATGTGTAAGGTGCTGGTACAGTCCGTTTGAGTCAGAATCGGACCGGTGAATTGCAAATTTTATCATTGTACAAAATTGCCACAGAAATATAAATAGTACACATGTTTATCATTTACTAATACCCAACAGCTTTCTTACATTTGAAAATTTTCCGGACTCCACCAAAAAAGTTGTTTAAGAAACTATCATCATTGAAAATGCAAAAGTTGTTATCTGTCGCGGTGGGGTGAAACGGCAGAAACGGAACAGCCACTATCTTGTCGTGCACGGGATACACATGCCTGATGAAAAATGAAGTTGAATGCTGACGTGAAACAGTTGATGATTAAAGTGTACGATTTTTTCCGTGCTGAAGCCAAAAGGGGCAAACCATTTTATGCCATTAATAAATTCCGTAAGCGGGCAGCAAAAGCTTTAGGAGTATCAGCAAGGGTACTGACAAATGTTCTGGAACACAAACATTGTGAGGGTGATGCGAAGCAGGTAGGGGTCGTGTCAAAATCACACAAATTAAAATATTTGGACAACTTTCAAAAGAACCTTGTAAGGCAGTCTATCAACAAGCTCTATTCTGAAAACAAATACATGTCGCTGAATATTTTTAAAAAGCATTTGAAGCAAGAACACAACCTCAGAATATCAAAGTATACGCTCTGGCAATTCTTACACTCTTTCGGGTATCGTTATAAGAAAATTTCGGGGGAGAATAGGTCAGTACTCTGTGAACGCCCTGATATCGTTCGCTTGAGAAATAATTTTCTCAGGGTTATAAAGAAGAAGCGCGAGGAAGGGTTCGAGCCAGTGTACTTGGACAAGACCTGAGTCAATGCCTCGCACACTGCCAGCAGTTAGTGGGTACCCGATGGGGGTGATAAGGGGTCACGTAGAAAGCTGCCTCTAGGGAAAGGAGAGAGACTAATCATTCTCCATGCTGGTTGCTCCAGCAAAGGCTTTCTCCCAGGCTGCGACTTGGTATTCAGGGCAAAGTCCACAGATAACAGAGACTACCATTCCGAGATGAATGGTGCGGTTTCCTCGATTGGGTTAAAAACAAGTTGGTACCAGCTCTACCAGAGAAGTCTTTTATCGTAATGGACAATACCCCATACCACAGCGTGCAGGACCCAGACAGTAAAGCCCTGACATCGAACAGTCGAAAATGTGATATGATATCATGGCTCGACAAATTTCAGATCGAAGATTCAGATAGCCTCAGCTATATGAGATCATAAAAACCCACAAAGGTGAACATTTCTACAAAGTTGACAGTTACATAAAAAGTACGGGTCACGATATTCTGCGACTTCCACCCTATCACTGTGACCTTAACCCCATTGAAATGATATGGGGTATTGTCAAAGGAGATTTTGCCAGATCAAACACAACTTTTAGATTACGTGACATAGAGGTTTTGGTTAAGGAATCCCTTAACAAAATCCCGACTGAAACTTGGTAAAACTGTGTCAACGTGGTAGCTAACATCATTGAACAAGGTTACTGGTCTCGGGATGGCTTACAACAGGCAACTGTGGCACCACTTGTCATCCCTTTAAGTTGTGACTATGACACTACGACAGACGAAGATTTTGAGATGTCCCCCGCCATGACTGGCTCTTCCATTTCTGCGGTTTCACAGAACAACTTTTGCGTTTTCAATGATGATAGTTTCTTAAACAACTTTTTGGGTGGAGTCCGGAAAATTTTCAAATGTAAGAAAGCTGTTGGGTATTAGTAAATGGTAAACGTGTACTATTTATATTTCTGTGGCAATTTTGTACAATGATGCAATTTGCAATTCATCGGTGCGTTTCTGACTCAAATGGACTGTACCTGCTACTGGTGTGTAAGGTGCTGGTACCTGCTACTGGTGTGGATGTTATGCCTGCATGTGTAAGGTGCTGGTACCTGCTACTGGTGTGAATGTTATGCCTGCATGTGTAAGGTGCTGGTACCTGCTACTGGTGTGGATGTTATGCCTGCATGTGTAAGGTGCTGGTACTTGCTACTGGTGTGGATGTTATGCCTGCATGTGTAAGGTGCTTGTACCTGCTACTGGTGTGGATGTTATGCCTGCATGTGTAAGGTGCTGGTACCTGCTACTGGTGTGGATGTTATGCCTGCATGTGTAAGGTGCTGGTACCTGCTACTGGTGTGGATGTTATGCCTGCAGGTGCTGTACTGTACTTGCTACTGGTGTGGATGTTATGCCTGCATGTGTAAGGTGCTGGTACCTGCTACTGGTGTGGATGTTATGCCTGCATGTGTAAGGTGCTGGTACCTGCTACTGGTGTGGATGTTATGCCTGCATGTGTAAGGTGCTGGTACCTGCTACTGGTGTGGATGTTATGCCTGCATGTGTAAGGTGCTGGTACCTGCTACTGGCGTGGATGTTATGCCTGCATGTGTAAGGTGCTGGTACCTGCTACTGGCGTGGATGTTATGCCTGCATGTGTAAGGTGCTGGTACCTGCTACTGGTGTGGATGTTATGCCTGCATGTGTAAGGTGCTGGTACCTGCTACTGGTGTGGATGTTATGCCTGCATGTGTAAGGTGCTGGTACCTGCTACTGGTGTGGATGTTATGCCTGCATGTGTAAGGTGCTGGTACCTGCTACTGGTGTGGATGTTATGCCTGCATGTGTAAGGTGCTGGTACCTGCTACTGGTGTGGATGTTATGCCTGCATGTGTAAGGTGCTGGTACCTGCTACTGGCGTGGATGTTATGCCTGCATGTGTAAGGTGCTGGTACCTGCTACTGGCGTGGATGTTATGCCTGCATGTGTAAGGTGCTGGTACCTGCTACTGGCGTGGATGTTATGCCTGCATGTGTAAGGTGCTGGTACCTGCTACTGGTGTGGATGTTATGCCTGCATGTGTAAGGTGCTGGTACCTGCTACTGGCGTGGTTCTTATGCCAGCTAATTCTGTCATTTATGCACCTATGTGGTGCCTGCTGTTGGCATGGTTTTATTAAGATGCCTGATACTGGTAGTGTCCTTGTGCCCGTTTTTTGTAAGGTACCTCCAGCTTGCATCGTTCTTGTACCTGTAAGCTACTGCCATTATTGTGTCTGTTAGCTACTTTCGTTGCCCTAGGCATGTGCCATGCATGCTCCTGAAAGATACACCTTAAGTGGTGCTATGCTGGCTCCCATACAGTGCTTGAACCTGCTGCTGTTTGGGTCTATGCTTGCGTTTTATAAGATGCTAGTGGCCAGCAGCTGCACCTTTACGAGCATATCCAGCAGCTGCAGGGGTGCATGCGGTCACTATGGATGTTGACCCTCGTATACTTCTCATCAAAAGTTTAGACTCACTAGTGTAAATATAGCCACTTACTTCAGGCAACTGTTCTAAACTAAATTTTGCCAAATATGCCATACTGTTTAAAGGTACTGTTTACACATGAACTGATGTATTGTAAAACAAATTCGTAATGTTGAAAAGATTATTATCATGAGTTCAGTAAGTGATGAAAATCAGTGAAAATTGTCGAATTCTTAGCAAACTTTACACCACAATGCAGCTGTTAACATGCACAATATTTGCACATGCTTTTCAGCAATTTGATGCATGATCCTTGTGCAATTCAGCTTCATAAACTTTGCAGTTGGTTCCCCCAAGTTAGTGGAGAAATCAATCTTCCAAGTAACCATATAATATATACATAACATATAGTGAGTGTTTTCATTGAGTCAAAACTTTTGAAGAGAAGTATATATTCAGCTACCTTCCTCAACTGAGGAGCCAGATCTTGTTCAGGGTGTGGCACCTCCATCTACAATGGTGTCATCACCGAAGGTAGAGGAATATCAAGTCACTTTGATGTCTAAGAAATATTTTTGCCTGCTTATATGTTTGGTTGAAATGTAGTGTGTAAGCCCTGAAGTATTGTACTTGAGACAAGCAAACCGTTTCTGGTATACAGGACATGCTTTGTTGATAAGATCAGACATTTTCAGTGATCTGTTATAATATCCAAATACTCGTGTTGTCTTATTGTGGAGATTCTTGTTATTTCTGTTCCATTTACTTTTTTGCTCTTTTGGGTTTGTTAACACAAAAATAACACAAATATTCTGGCGAGCTATTTTTCCTTCTTGCAATTATTTTTGGGACCAGTGTTATTTTTTTATATCCTTCAATGCTCTTTGTTCACATTGCAGGTCGGAAAATCACTAAGTTAGATGCAGATGATGCTGAAGAAATAGAGAAAATCAGCACATGAGGAAGAGGTGGATGAATGTTACTAATATCCCTCCTTGGATCATTCATGTCATCAACCTTAATGAGCTGCTGGGCGGCTGTGACACTGATACTGGAGCTGCTGCAGCGTATCGGGAACTGTCTCCGGCAACACGCTGCAGCCCTCACGCTGCAACCCTCACATTGTCCTCCCATAGTCAAGTGTTGTGCCTAGCACACCACCAGTACATGGTAAACAGATTCCAAGAGTACCTTGCTTTTAATGTCCTATATTTTTTATCTGTAAGGTCAGTGTGAATGTCAAAATTATTTTCAGATCTTGAGAGCGGTGGGTGGAAACTGAAAACAGACATTTTGGTTCAATTGGCTGATATTTTTAACTTGTATGTGATGGAAGATTGATCTTTAACAATGTTGAATGTATGTATAATTCTTTTTGTGAAGTCAATAAAGTTTATATCCCAATAAGTTTATGACAGCTTCAGTTGCTTCTTATAGTGAAATGTTGTATTTCTTGATGGAGGACAGCATGGATGCTGTATCCAGTGGCAGTGATGCCTCTGATGTGCCTCTCAACTTACTGAATGCATATGAAGTCAGGAGAGCCATATCAAGCTTGAATCTCTGCATAATATGACTTGAGGATGTAGCATACTTGTGTATTTGATGGACAAACAATCAGAATATTTTCTCGGGTGTTTTTTAAAGAAATAATCATGAATTGTCAAACTTAAAATCTGTTGTTTTGTGTTTGTTGGTGATGAAGAAAACATCAATTCATGCCCAACTTAATTTGTTAAATAAGTTGTTTTTACTTTAGTCATATGTTTTAATGAACTTAAAGTAAATATTAGCATGTTGACAAAAACATTGTGAGGTTTTATTTCTTTTCACAATAACTGCAGTAGTACGTCAGTTTTAGAAATGCCTAGTGTGCTTGTAGCAGACACAGCATTTTGTATTATTTAATTCCTTCAAGAGTCATTTAGCTTTGAGTGCCACCCCTGCATCTGTTAGGCAAGTCATGTGTTCAGATCCACATTTTGATCATGGTTTTGTCACCACCCAAGCTGTAAACGTCAAAGACCCACTTCATCCCCATGCTGATGCTCCAGAGTGTGACTTATGTAGGAAGCAACATTTAACACAACTCAAATAGAATTTCAATGAAGACAGTGTGAGGTTTCATCAGATACTAGTACATTTATCACTCCTGTGAACTTTTATCTATTGTTGGATAAGCACTCAATTACCAGTTCCAACACTTCCTAATAAAAGCAGCAATCCCTCAGGTCAATACTGCCATCATGTTGTAGTTCAAACTTCAAATGGCCGTGTGCAGATTTGCATCAGGGAACAGTGTCAGCTGTCAAGCCCTTCCTTGTCCAAGCCACTGAAATCTTGTCTCATGTTAAACATTGCATTCCAGACATGGAAATCTTGTCTCATCAGCTGATATCTACTGAAATGACATAATATGTCTTGTGGTGAGGTGTGCTAACTTGGTTCATTTTTGGCAATAAAGATAATGATGTGGACATTGATATTGTCAGGAATTAAATGTGTTGACAGGTCCACATCAGCATAATATGTCTTATCTTGTTTTAATTTGTCATTGTTGCTGAATCATTTAATGCTCTGGTACTACTGCTTCCACAGTGTCACATATATTAAACATATTTTGAAGGTCTGTATTTTCAGCAGAATCAGTAGCAATGATATCAGGTAAAAGAAGATGCTTTTAGTTGGTTGTGTGGAATTCCACTGAGAGCAGTTATCTTCAGAGCCAGTGTCTCTGTGTTGTTTTTAAATTTGAATCATGCTATCTCCTTCTTTCAATAATTACGTCTTATTACATAATTGTTAATGATTCAAATAAATGTGAACAACCCAAAAAATAGATTTTTTTTGTATTTTGCAATTATGTCTCCAACATTCTACCAGTTGTGACAAGATGAGGTACTTAACTATAGATATACATTTGCTGTCTTCCAGTGATCCTCCCGTGCTCACACCCATCCTAGAACAGTCATAAGTCAACAGAAACATCAGTTGACAAGCCTGCTTGCGGTTCTTCAGTAAACACTGTCATTCTTGAAGAGTAATAGTAATGGGGAAGATCAGTTGACAAGCCTGATTGTAACAGTGGCTCTTCAGTAAACACTTTCATTCTTGAAGAGTAATTGTCTAGGGGAAGATCAGTTAGCAAGCCAGATTGCAGCAGTTTTTCACATGAACACCAACCAGTTATCTGACTTCATTTGGGTGAAAGACGTGCTATCGATACAAAATACTGATAACAATAAATCATTTTATTCCAGTTTCTTGTTAAACAGCAACCACATTAACATTACTACAGTTAGGACAACACTTAAAAACAATATGTATATACCAGCGGAAAAATATCTTTGTCATCCCAAAGATCACATGGGATGAAACATACCTGGATTGTTAATCATTCATTATAATCACAAATAAAAAATTTGATTACCCACAAGTTCGACATGCATACATACATAAAATATCACAAGAGTCCATTCAAAGAGGAAACGTTGAAGTGATATATGTTTGGAAAGTGTCTGTCTTAAGGGCCAAAGCCTGTAAACTGTATGCCACGCTTATCAGAAAATTAGTGCTTGAGTGCAGATGTTATTCGTGTTCAAAACCATAGTCCCCTCTGAGGTCAGTATCAACAGACAAGCAACACCTGGAACCTCTCAGCATGGGTGTCACGCCATCTACTCCACATATATGAGTGTCATGCCATCTTCTAAACATGAGAGTCTCACACCATCTACTCAGCATTTGTCAAACCACCTTCACAACATAAGTGAGTGTAACAACCTTTACCCAACATATGTGCCACATCTACTCAACATGTGTCACACATCTACTTAACACGTATAACTTCATCTACTCAAGATATGTGAGTGTTACACCATCTTCACAACATATCTGAGTGTAACAACATATGCCCAAAATGTGTCACAACATCAACTCAAGATATGTGAGTGTTTCTACCCAAAATGTGTCACAACATCAACTCAAGATATGTGAGTGTTTCTACCCAAAATATGTCACAGCATCTACTCAAGATATGTGAGTGTTTCTACCCAAAATGTGTCACAACATCAACTCAAGATATGTGAGTGTTTCTACCCAAAATATGTCAGCATCAACTCAAGATATGTGAGTGTTTCTACCCAAAATACGTCACAACATCAACTCAAGATATGTGAGTGTTTCTACCCAAAATGTGTCACAGCATCTACTCAAGATATGTGAGTGTTTCTACTCAAAATGTGTCACATCAACTCAAGATATGTGAGTGTTTCTACCCAAAATATGTCACAGCATCTACTCAAGATATGTGAGTGTTTCTACCCAAAATATGTCACAGCATCTACTCAAGATATGTGAGTGTTACACCATCTACACAACATATGTCAGTGTAACAACTGAACACCTCACGTGGTGTAATACTCACATATGTTGAGTAGATGTTTTAACACGCACTTGTCTCGTAGATTGTTTGACAATCACATATGTATTATAGTTGGATACACTCACTTATCTTGAGTAGATGGTGCCACACTCAATATCTTGAGCGGATGATGTTACACTTTCATATACCCAGCAAAATTACAAACAAATGGAAACTACTTAGGAACGATGTGGCCAAACACCAACGTGGAATGAACATACAGTATGAATTGTTGGGCTATGAAAATGATGGGTTTTCACCTGTCTATCATCACAACTCTAAAGCAAGTAAAACGCGAAAACATGTCACGACTGACAAGAGCTCAACCACAGTCGACTCGGCTTTTGCCGTAACCATGTTTTCTCCGTATCGCCCGGCACAATTACATGACTATGGAACCGTTATCAGACGCATTGGCCTCACATATGTCCTGTCGATTGTGTTTCGGAAGAAGAAAAGGTCGACCTCGTGTCAGGGTAGACTGAATACACAGGTACGCGTCTTTCCCTTGAAAAGGTGACGCTAGTCCGGACACACGCCCTCTTCTTCCAGGGTAGTGCCAGTGAACGCCACAGACGTTTGTTCGACATCAGGGCCACCCCGACCAGCAGACCACAGGATGAGTTGATAACAGTGAATGCCATCCACAAGAAAGGATTATTGATAAAGCCAGCTAAAAGGCCTATGAGCCAGGTGGCACCAGTCAAGCTTGTGATCTTCGAACAGATTGAAATACTCAGCACTGGTGATGACGTCGAAAGACTGTTGATGAACTTTGACGATTTGTAATGAACATGTAGGTCCCTGAACGTCAACACTATCAGGACTAGGTTCATGACACACAGGAAACTCGCCGGACCAACGAAGAATACGATCAAGGCATAGGACTGATTAATCCAACAGATCCCGTTACCATACATTGGACTGAACGAACTAGATGGGTAAAACCTGTCGAGTATACAAGCAGTGCCTACGATCAAAGAAGGACTTAAACAACAGTAGATACCGACTTTCTTTATTGACCTACGCTCTCTCATAGACGACAGAATACGCCCGTATCGGAATCTGCCCCAGAGGTCATAGGTTATTGCGTGCATCCAAACCAGACTGGAGAGGAATGCCCAGTGGAGGAGCAGAGATATAGTCCAACAGAACAGTGAGTAAGCTACGGCTTTCTGCGATACAAGAAACAGTGAGTAAGCCAGGAGGAGGCACACACACAGACAGAACTGCATGGTTCCGGGATGAGTGTGCAGCAGGTACGAGAAGGGCTGAAGGAGCACCCTCACACTCAGACAGGTGATGGACAAGGACGTGCAAATCACTGAAAGGGTCCATTCTATTTCATGAAGCCACGTATTGTCATCTATCGGAATATATGTCACTTCCGTGTCTGTTATTAAGTGTCCATGAATGGACACATACATGGCTGTCACATTAACGATTCGGTATGGAACGTTATTTCTGCGAAACATATCTACTAACCCAATATACATCTGCTTGAGTTGATCTTTGGTTGCATACGTTCTTGTCGCTCCCCAATTACAGTTTAGACTATACAGAATTTGAGTGAGCATGTTAACACCTGTAAATCCTTTACATTCTCCTGCAGTAAACCGTTCAAAGACCGGAAAATAGGTTTGACCCAGAGTGTCATTCACTGCCAGGTAAGCAGCAACCTGAATACGTGGTTGTGACACACAATAGGTGTCGTTAAGGAACGGAACTGATCCCTCAGGACAAGACTCGACCTTGCACACTGAAGATGCTGTTCTTGAATCCACAGAGCATGACTTGATGGTGGACTGACCCTCGTAAGTGTTCGTCACTGCCCACGTCCCGTCGGCTTCCACCCAGTTCATTAACGACGAGAACTTGGTGGAGGCGAAGGAACCAAAGCCGCCAATGTCGGGGATGTCGCAGTCAACACTTGCCAGACCTCGACACAGCAGGCAGAACCTAAAATATAGAAAGCAGGGTAAACTTCAG